GTGGATTCTGGGTTATAGAAGGACCAAGCCATTTGGACCAGGTCTTGAAACCTGGGTAGATAGATGTGTGGAAATATTCGATGCAGTGTGCCATCTCTGGTTCTTTATTCAAAGAGACTTGACTACACACTGTGCCAGGCCTGCCCATGGTCAGTTCATGGATTTTACAGTTTATTAGGGAAGACTGACTCTAAATAAGCCATTTTCTAGTTAATTAGTGTATTTGTTCGTTCATTCATTCGTTCATTCATTCAATATGTATTTGAGTGGCTACTAACTACTGTTCTCAATTCTTGGAATTCAGCAGTGAAGAAAATAGCTTCTGTGCTCATGAAACCTAAATTCTATTTGGGAGACAGAAAGTAAGTAAGTGTGTAATGTATTTGCAGGTAGTGATAAGTACAGTGATGAAAGATAAAGCAGGATAAGAGGATAGTGTGTGACAGTGAGGTGGGGTTATTTTAATTCATGTGACCAGGGAAGGCCTCTCTGAGAGGAGGATATTTGAGCAGAAACCAGAACAAAATGAAGAGAAAGAGAGCCCTATGAATAGCTGGGCAAATAGTTTTCCAGATAGAGGGAATAGCAAATATGAAAACCTCAAGATGGAAAGTTTTAGTATTCTAGGAATAGCAAGATTCTCTAGGATTAGAGTGTAATTTGCAAAGGAAGAAGTTGTAGAAAATGAGAATGGAAAAATGGGTATATATAGGCCAGATTTGTTAGGCCTTGTGGCATGGCGATAGAAGGATGTTGGGAAGCCGATGGGAGGATGACATTATGAGATTTATGTTTTAAAAGGATTGCTGTAGCTGCTTTCGTCCGAAATGGAAACCAGGAGCCCAGTTATTGCAGTAGTTCAGCAAGGAGATGACGGTTCCTCGGATTTGTGTGGTGACAGTGGAAATGGCAAGAGGACGGGCCATGGGCTCTTATCGTGGATTGGGTGTGGGGCGTGAGAGGGAGAGCCAGGGCGGATGCCACAGTTTGGTGCCAGCGACTGAGAGGGAATGTTGGGAGAGGAATGGGCTCTGGTGAGGACCAAGGGTTCTCCTGTTTGAGGTGCCAACTGACATCCGAATGAAGATGTCTAGTAGAGAATCGGATATGAGTATGGAATTCAAGGGAAAGGTTGAAGATAGGCATTCAATGGTGGGAATTAATAGCATATAGAGAGATTTAATTTAAAACCACAAAACTGGATGAAATCATCTAGGGAGTAAGTGTAAAAGGGTCCTCTTCCTAGTGTTGTTTAATGTGTTACTCTGTCCCTTTTATCAGATCAGATTCAAGTTCAACTTTTGGGGAAAAAGTACTTCATGGATGGCTGTGCTTGCTTCCTGTTATGCTGCATGAGGAAGCACTTTGGTTCTTTCTCTTTTCAGATATTTATATTGATCAGTGGCTTCAGGCCTTGCTACTCCATCTATTATAAAAGTCCATTCCCATCAGGTTGTGACACTGGTTTTAGTAACCATTGATGATCATATCCTGAATCCATTATTTCTACAGGAATGGCAAAATGGTGGTATTGAACACCCGTCCTTCCTTCTTAATTAGCTAAAAGTCTCCTATAAAGAAGCATTTCATCTCTTCAGCTGTTTGGTTAACTTGAGATACAGTTTGTGTAGGAAAGGTCGGTTAAGTACTTAGAACCTCCTAAGGTTGACCAGAGAGAGAGCCTTTTCATGATGTTTGCTGAGTCCTTTAGACAAGATCAAGATCACGTTAGCCTTTGATTTCCTGGTATGACAAGATATTCCAGGACAGTCTTGTCTATTTCCGTCCCAGACTTGAATTATCCATTTCACCCTTAACCAATGTGCAATATGGAATGGTTTTAGAATGCCTTGTGTATCCTGTGATCTTATGGTGATCTTTCCCCCCAAAACATTTGTTCTATTCTTCTGTGTACTGGGATAACAGAATGAAAATACTTTTAAAATGCAACATATTAATTTGTATTTTATTACATGGCTTCAAATGACTTGATTTATTCATTAATTCCTGCTCCCTTACAGCATTTTTTGTAACTCAGAAGTGAATTTACTGCTCGAAACACTAATTCTTGAGTAAAGCTAATCTAAACCATGGAGATTATCATAAAGTCAGAACTGGGTTGGTTTTAGAAATGTGCTATGCAGTTAAGCTTTCTGTACTCTGGTTATTGCTTCCCACTGACCTCCTCTTCCCATTGAGTTTCTTGAACTTCACATGTGTGAGCTAAAGCATAATTCTTTTTTTTTTTTAAGATTTTTATTGGGGAATTGGGGGAAGGGGAACAGACAAGTTGCTGTCTAAAGCATAATTCTTAATAAGTAGGTAGGCAGAATCATTGTGATTACAGAATTCTTGTATCTCACACACACACACACACACACACACAGAGAGAGAGAGAGAGAGAGAGAGAGAGAGAGAGAGAGAGAGAGAGAGAGAGAGAGCGAGAGAGTGCGAGCGAGCGAGCCTACCTTTCATTGTGGGATAGTTAAGGCTTCAAATTTTATGAAGTCAGAATTCTGGTTCCCCTTGTGATGCTTTCTTCATAGCCTGTGGGAACCAAGCCCTTTGTGAAACCATTAGTGGCAGAAATAAATACATAATGAAAACTGGACCTCTTTGCTTAACATCTTTCCAGGAGACTACATTTTGCCTGCTAGTCTAACTCCATCCATCATGTCAGTTGTTTTCTTTCACCTCTGCCCCCAACTGTCCTCTCTTTGAGGTAAAGTGTGCATGGGGATGATGTGGAGAAAACAATGGACAGTGACCCTGTTGTGGCCCCCATACTTTAGAAACAGGTTATGTGCATGCAGCCCCTCCTGCCTGTGCTTTGGGCTGTTTTGACAGTGCCCAAGGTTGTGGTAATTCTTTGAGGATGGTCAGGGGCAGATCTTCCTAGATATTAATGAATTGGCCAGGCACATTTAAGGAAATTGAATAGGTTTGCTGATTTGAGTGATGTCAAATTCTTTTTCTTTTCTCACTCGGCAGTAAATTCTCTATTTGAATGATGTACTTGGGGTCAGGTATTAAACCAGGACTTCTGTAGTAAGGCAGAAATACACAGAGGAGAGCTGGTTTGTAATTGTATATGAATTTAAAGATGTGGCTGTGGCTTCACGCGTATGTTCTCATCTAGGAAAGAAATGTTTTTAGAGATTTCTGCTCTAGCCAGTTGAACTTTTTTTTACTGTCATAGAAAAGAAGTCTTGTTTGTTTTAAACTTCTCATGGACATAATGAATGAATGAACAAATGAATGAATGAATCTGACAAGAGCCAAAACATGGCAAGAGTTGATAGAAAATTTCACTAAATATATTCACAAATGGGGACTCAAGTTTTCAAAAAAATTTATTAAAAGGCACAATTTTGCTCAGAAAAATTGACCATCATTTATAAGTTTTCCTGTTACTACATTTTTGTGAAGTAATTTTTTTTAAATTTTGGGAATATATTCTTAGAGTCTATATTCTGATTGTGAATATCTTTCTAATAGTTTACTTTGATTTTCTGGGTAGTTTTAATATTATCTGGGGATGGTTATATTAATTGGAATCTATGGCATTAAGATACTCTGGGAAAGGTTTAATAACTTTTTCTGCTGTGTGTAAGATGAAGAGCTTTCATTAAGCACGATCTTTGTGTGACCTAATTTGAATGTTAATCTGGTTTGTTGAAGGCAGGCATCTATTTTGAAACCTCGAGGCTAAACTAAAAAATATTAGACTCCTCACATCCTATAAACATAGAGAAACTGCTAGAGTAGCTCACTCCCTTCCTGCAGGTCTCTGCTCAAATGTCGCTTCCTCCAGGAGGCATCCCCTAACCACCCTACTGGCAAACCTCACTCTCGCGTAACCAGTATCCTCTTACTAGGTGTGTTTTTACTTCTCTTACACTTTTTAATTGTGTTCACTGCTGTACCCTTTCCACTGAGAGCAGTTCCTGGCACCATAAAAGGTACTTTGTAATGACTTGTTGAATGAGAAATTATTTATCATCTGTCTACCCATGAGAAGGTAGGCCTCATGAGGGTGCTGGCACAAGGTTAGCCTTCCAACATTTGTTTGAAAGAATGAAATGATCACTACCAATAGTGATCATATTTATTTTACACACACACACACACACACACACATATGTATATATGTGTATATATGTATATGTATATATATATACACACACGTGATCACATTTTAATTATGTTTAAATTGCATATAGATTTCTCATCTAGAAATAGATTCTTGAAAGGATGTCATGTTGTAAATAACGTCTAGAACCTACAAAATCTGTGTTTTTTTGCTAATGTAGATGGACAGACAGACTCATTAAATGGATTCATATCTGGATTCTTCCATTTGCTTTGTTCTTTTTTTTAAATTAAAAATATTTGACTTGTGTAATGCTTCATTTTTATTGCTAGTGTAGATGTGCATCGTCTGTGTGCTTTCTATACTGATTTCAGGCCCAAAATGGAGACTTAAGGGTTTATATTTTTTATGAGCACATTTTATAAACTCTTATTCACACTTAACTTTTGTTTTCCCACTTCACCTTATATTCTTGTGGTTTCATTGGGAGTGTAGTGACGTACGTACTATGTTGAGTTCTTGTATCATTACCCAACATACTTACTGAGCCCATGTCGTGAACACTTATGAAGCAGTATGGCACTTGTGGTATTCAGGGCCTTCGGGGGAGAGGGGATGAAAATGTGCATGAGAAAAAGGAGGAGTGGATGTGGCATTAATTCTGGGCATCTTGAAGAGCTGTGTGCCACCCTGGCACTGCTGGGTTGATCATCTCCAGAAGATAGTCTGAGCATCTGGAAAATAAAGATCCTTTTTCAGGCTAATAATAAATACATGGTGAGTGTCCAGTGTTGTGAGTTTCTTAATGTGCAGTTTTTTCCTTAGGAAAGAAAAATGAAAAAAGAAGAATCTGCTCTTTTCCTTTCTTCCCTCCAGTGATTCAGCAGAACTTTTCTATTTTCTTCAGGTAATTAAACCCGAGAGTGGTGACAAAGAGCCAGAAGGTGCCTATGAATCAGAGCCCCCCGGGGAGCTCTGTGGAAGCCGCGTCCTGCAGCCCTCCCCGAAAGACTGTCATGACAGTCCTGATGTCATCATAGAGGCCCAGTTTGATGACAGCGACTCCGAAGATGGACATGGCAGCACACAAAGTGCCCTGCTTGATGACGTTAAGAGACTCTCAGTTTGTGTTCATGAAAAAGGTGGGTACTAGACTGCTGCCTGACATCTGATTTTAGGAAGCTGATAGTTTTCAGTATCGGAATTCTCTTTGTGCTCCAGAATTAATCCCACTGCCCACTTGGCATCTTCCCGATTTCTGACCTGTGGCAGCGTTTAGGAAAGAGGGGCCCTTAACAGACTTCCAGCTGCTGGTTACGAGGGCCGGGGGCAACGGTGCTGCTGGTGGTTTGTGTGGCAAGTGGTTGCTGTTGTCATTTTCTGGGAGGTTTGAGTTGTGTTGAAAGCTAACCTGGAATGTCCTGTGATGAGCCCAGTCCCACCCTGTGGTTGATATGAACAGAATTAAAGCAATCTTTAAAATCCTTACACAACAAGCACTTCATTTTACCCTGGATTTTTTTTAAAACTCAGTACATTTTAAAAGTATTTATGTCATTGGTGGTGGGAATGGATCTTACATTTGATAAGTAATTTATCTTTATGTCAGCAAAAGAATATCCAGCCTAAGGAAAAGTCTTATATGAGTTTGAGCCAAACTGGCAATGGCTGGAAAGCAAAATCTCAACGGAGTAAGAAAATGGTCCAGAGAATGGCAGTTTTGTGGCTTATTTTATATATTAGAATCAAAGGAAGAGACGTAAGGAGGGTTACATGGAATCCATTGGTGGTAGATTAAGCGGGTAGGAGAAAGCAAAGCAGAGAACTTTCTGGGATTGGATGAAAAGTAAAATAGACACACACACTTCTTTTTCATTGGCAGGTACAAGATCATTAATAATTAACATTACAGCACATAGAGATGGTATTCGGGGAACAGGATTACAATGAGGGATTCTGTGGTCTCGTGCTCTGGTGCCCACAGTTGTGCCTTTGAGGAGTCTGGAAAAGAAGTTTACTCTGACTTTTCAAAGGTGTGTTATTTTAGATGCATAAAGACAATAGACAATTTCAAAGTTAAAGATCGACCTTTGTCAAGGAAGCTATAGGCCTAGGATATGACTACTCACCATGCCCTACTTTTAGTTAGAAGTCTTACATTCAACCCACCCTGTGTAGTTACTTTGATTCTGGGTTTGTAAGGCTCGCCATGCAGGCCTCTGCTGAGTTTGTCAGGCTTAGTATATGTGGCCCCTCTTTTGTCCACATTTATAAAGTGTTGTGATTTTAAGCTTTGAAACAGCCAGTCGTCTTTCCCCCGATCAAAATCTAAGCCATGGGTCGGTCCTCTGAGCGTAGGATAGCAGCTGCAAACACATGGGTAAGGAGCTGGGACCGCGGGCTCTGCCTGATCATGCTTAGAGCAACTGAAGGGAGAGTAGCAGTGGAAGTTGGAATATTTCTTTTTTTTTTTTTAAAGATTTTATTGGGGAATTGGGGGAGGGGAACAGTGTTAGGGAATCAGGGAAGGGAAACAGACAAGTTGCTGTCCTTTGGTTCTTCAGTCTAGTTGTAGAGGACGTCGCTTCACTGGCCCATGTTGGTTATTATCATTGCGCTCTTCCCGGCTGAGGCAGTCGCTCGCCAGCCATTGGACGGCCACTCACAGTGGCTCACGAAAGCTCACGCCCGCTGCTGGCCAGTCCCACTGCAGCCTACACCGTCGCCGGAGACTCACGGCAGCCCAGCTCCAGTTGAGCTGTTGTTCACCATCTTAGCTATAGAAGGCGCAGCATTATTGGCCCTCATGTAGGATCTGAACCGGGGTCCTGCTGCTCAGAGCTGGTGTCCCAAGCCAACTCTTAACCAACACACCACTCGGCCGGCCCAAAGTTGTAGTATTTCAAAGCACAGATTGCTAAGAGGTTATAAATGCAGGGAGTATATTTTCCAGCCAGATTGAGGTTTAGGCATATTATGAAATGGAAAAAATTGACCTGGCTTGGCCAACTGGATGATGAGTTTTTTATCAGGAAGAAGTTTCTGGCACAGCCCCCTGAAAGGCTAGAGGAAATGCCAGAAGGTTGCTAAAGGAGGATACTCAGCAGGACTGGTGAGCACCCCCATTGACACCCTAGGTAAAGCTGGAGGTGATTGCCGGAAGTGACTGCCTAAGACACACCCTGTTTCTCCCCTGCTGACCAGGCAATGACCTGGGACAGCAAACCTTTTCTGAAGGCAGAATCGCTTTCTGGTGCTAAGTTCTACTCATTCAGAAGGACTTTCCAACTCTGAAGTTTGTTTGGAATGAAGAGCCTACTGCTTCCTCAGTGCCCCACCAGATGTGGTGACCTGAAGGCACCCAGGTTCTTTCTGTTTTATGGCCTGCTGAGATCACTAGTGGTTTCACTGTTTCCCAGCCAGTTCCACTGGGATGTTATTCCTTAAAATGTCATTCTTCTGATGTTTCTTTTTTCTTCCTTTAAAAATAGTTGGACACCGTGACTCTCTTCCGAGAGCGCATGTGTATTATCATAATGGCGTCAGTATTGTGAGTCATGTCTTTTCAATGAGGAGAGAGGGACATGACACCAGCACCTTAACTAGCCAAGTCCTTCATCATTAAGGTCACCAAGGGAGAGAGACACTTGCAGGGCGAAGCCAGGCAAAGGAGCACTTTAAAACCTAGTATTTGGCCCAAAACTCCTTTGTGGAAATGTAGGTCTGGTGATTGGACTTGCAGACCTCAGCAGTCCTTTCCCGGGGCTGTGAGGTGAAGGGATAAGATGCCTTGATTTCTTATTCGTGGTTGGTACCAGTACAAGGGCAAGGAAGTGCTGATGGATGGAAATGATGGCAAAATCATCATTCACTTCGCTCTTTTTTGGAGAAATTCTGATGCCAGAGGTGCTCTTGATTTGTCCTCTACTGTGATTCCCCTCCTTCCCTCTTATAAATAAGTATCACTGAGTGCTTTACAAATCCACTGTATGTATGTTTTTTCTTTACTCTTTTTATGGTCTTCCTATCCTACTGTTATTTATATTGCTCCCTTACTAGCCCTGACTGAGGGAACAGCCTCAATCCTTTCCTCAGTATCTGGTACAAATTTCACTTTTCTGCTAGCCTCTAAATAGAGAGTTTGTGAAACCACATGGCTGTTTCTCATTTCTTGCCCTCTTGATATTTAGGAAAATTGCAATTTGCTCTTTTAAAAATCGTGGTGTTTTTTAGGATATTTTAACCAGCTTCTCTTGTCTGGATAATATGAAATCTGGTTACAGTTAAGATGTTAGTACTTTTTGCACCATTTAAGGTTTTGAAATTTGTTATTGAAATAAACCATAACCTTAAGAACATTATAAACTTTTCCTTAGAGTTCTAGAAAGGTTCTTTGCTTTGGGTTATAATTGCAAATGGATCATTTATCCTGTTTCACACTTGTGTTCAAAAGAGTGTTTTTTATTTTTTTACTTTTGTTTTACTAGGTTTACTTATCCAAAGCAAATGTTACATGTTGCATGTGTATGCATAGATCCCTACCTGCCCAGGAAACAAATCTCTAAGGTAAAATTGACCAGTTTCTCTGGTAAATGAGCAGATAGCTCCAGCTGTCTGCAGCAAGTGCCTGTCATTACATTAAGAGACAAGTTTCCTTGGGCATCTGAGACCTACACAATCATTTCTTCTAGGAAGACAGCAGGGTCTGCATCATCCTTAGTCCCTGAGAGACAGGGCCGAAGACGGGGTCTCTTTTTGTGGGTTCAGTGCCACAGTCTCCTGAAGCTGAGCTTTTACAACACTTTCCAGGCAGCAGTACTTTTGTCAGCACGGAAATCTGCCATCTGTGTAGAGACTGGGGACAACCTCGGTACATTTTCTTAGCTACCAAATGCGTGCGTAACAGTTGCCTGGGTAGCAAATTCCAAAGGATAGAAATCGTTATGACCACGTGATACAGTAGCTGTGTCTTTCATCATCGGAATTTTAAGAACACTTGTGCGCTCTGGATCCTGGTGATCGTGACCGAATCAGGTTGTGGTGTACGTTTCCTGTTCTCTACCCGAGTCGAGTCTGCCAGAGATCTGGTTCAGTGTTCTGGTCTGAAGACAAGCCTCTACCAGCACACTGATGGCTGCACATGGGCTTGAACTTAGAGTTGGTGACCCTTTCACTTTTCTGTCTCCTGGCCCCTTCAGCTCTTTTCTGAAGGGAGAATCCATGTGGAATCTTTGATCCCTTCTGAGGCTTGAATTGATCTACTACTGACTTCAGGAGTCAGGAAGAGCCCCCTTTTTTCACTTAAGATTCATCTCATTCCAGTGACAGGCCTGGGTTTCAGTTCTCTTTCCTTGGATAAAGAATAACTGTATTTCCCTTTGGCTGAACAAGCAGACGCATATGACTATTCTCCTGTGATACTCTGGGGTTACTGCAATTCTGGGAACCCTTTCTTCTCTCACTGGCAGGAAACCCCTCTTTCTTTCTTGTAGATAAATTTGTTCATTTTCTTTCTGCTTAATGTTTCCAGATTCTGAGATCAAATCTTCCCCATCCTTTTTGTTTCCCAGCTCTCCACTGTGTATAATGATGATTAGCACAACTAGAATACAGTCCTCTTTGCTTCAGAAATTATATTAAAAATTACATACGTAGCAGCTTCTCATCAACCACAGTTTTTGGACAGTATTTTGTGCCAGTGTTTTAAAAATTGCATAGAAAATGTAAACCCTTGTCTAGACCTATGTTAGAAGGATACTGTGGGAATTTTTGCTTCTCTGTCTTGTAGACTGAGTAGACACTGCAATCATATCAGGTGTGATTCAGGTAGAGATGGATGGTCAGGGTCTACAATGTCTTAAGACCCAAATCCTGTACTAGACCAGCTATTTTCCCCTGTGAAGTTCCCAAAAGAAATATATTCACAGAGGATTAGCAAGGCAGAGCAGCGTATTTCTCTAGTAACTGAGGCTTTGACCCAAACCAGAATGATTAGCCAGCCTGCATTTCTATGAGTAAAGCTTGAGACTTCTTGTATCTTCTTTCTCTTTCCTGCCAACAGTTAGAATTATTCAGTTTTCTCATTTTTATTGTCTAGATTAAGTTCTGTTCATATCATTAAGTTCTTTTCATATCATTTTCC